GGGTGATCTAAATGTAAACCCGTTTCTTTTCTATTCCCTACAGGATTGCTTCAGCCCCAGATGGAGCCACCCAGAAGACTCCATTCAAGCCATGTAACACCAGATAAGGATAAATAATTTGCTTCTTAGATTGTTAAAGTTAAATCACAATTTTTCAAATCAAATTTAACTCTAAAACTGTAACTGGATTGTGGGTTTGGGTTAAAAAATATATGTGTGTGTATATATATATAGATATGTATTCCAGAAATGTTAATTTACATGTTAAAAACATGTAAATGTTTATATTATTTAGAAGGGCCCCCCAGTATCCTTCCATAGCCTGTTAGGAACAGGGCCACATGGCCGGAGGTGAGCAGCATGCAAGCCAGCATTACCACCTGAGCTCTGCCTCCTGTCAGCTCGGCAAGGCATTAGATTCTCACTGAAGTGCCAACCCTATTGTGAACTGCACATGTGCGGGATCTAGGTTGCAAGCTCCCTGTGAGAATCTAATACCTGATGATCCGAGGTGGAACAGTTTCATCCTGAAACCATCCCCCACCACTGTGGAAAACTTGCCTTCCACAAAACTGGTCCCTGGTGCCAACAAGGTTGGGGACTGCTGCTACACAGAACACCGAATTCACAGTTTAAGCTTACTAGAGTCTAATCACATGATCATTTATGGGACACCTACTTACTGCATGACTCAGTATTTCCCTGGGGAAGCTTTGCTTAGTGAAAACATAACCCTGACCATTGAGGAACTCGGAGAGTTTCACAGGCGCAGTGAGCACACACAGCAGCAGGTGCCATACAGCTGTGGACAGGCTGCCAGGAAGCACCAAGAAAGCAATGCCGAGTCCTGTCCGACCACGGAGCCTGGCTGCTTCCCAGGCATGGGCACAGGTGGCCAGGGAGAGCAATGGAGGGTCGAACAGAGAGAAGCATCCTGGCGAGCCTGCTGCCTCGGGAAGAAACCCTGATGGCGTATGAGGGAGGCAACCAGCATGAAAGAGAGGAACCCTAGGGTGAAGGTGGATGGCCTACAACAAGAAGTTCAGCTGTGAAGGTCTCACAACAGAAGACACCAAGGCAAGACGGAGGCAACAGCAGCATGAATTTTAAAAGACGAATCGAGCAATGTGGCACCAGACGGGGCCAGCTGAAGAGAAGAAACGAAGAAACAGGAAGGAGACCACAGGAGCAGCGTTTTCAGGATGGGGGGCTGTGAGTCCACGAACCAGTGTGAGCTGACTTAGGAGCTAACGGCATGAGACGTTTAGAAGCCTATGCCATGACATAGACTACCTGAAGATAAATGTCCAGCAAACAGCAAGAAATACGGGTCTGCTGCTAAGGAGAGGAGGTGTGGCTGGAGTCACGTGCACACAAAGAAGTCCTTGAAGCCTTGGAGGAAGATGATCTAGGGAGCACAGTGAGAGAAAACAGCTCTGAGCCTGGAATGAGATGAAACCTTCAGCCTCAGCTCTGCGACTCCCCAGCTGAATTTCATTTGACTCCTCTGAGATTTCCTCACTGGGCATAATATCTCAGGTTATTTTAAGAGAGAAGAGCCAACTGCAATATATGTAACTTGTAAATGTTAGGGATTGATGTATAATAAGTATAGGGAATTTATGCTCTTCCCAGATCTCCTTAAAAACACACCATCAGCTCCCCTAAAGACTCGACGGGTACCCTGCAGTGGCATTCATATAAAAGACTGCACTGGAAAGACGAATGTCGAGAAACTCATCACTTTTTTGAGAATGAAAAAGTTGTGACCGTTGTTTAGACATCCATCCCAGCAGCACAGCTGGTCTACGACAACAGACAAGTGCCCCGTGAGGCCTGTCCATTGTCTCCGACCTGCCCCGATCTCAAACATGACCCCTTGAGGAAAGGAGGCTCCACTGGAGATGTAGGTCCCACAGTGTGTGCCCGGAGGACTCACCGCTCCCTTGGTTCACAGACAGCATCCCCATGGACAGCGGCTTGGTAGACTGGACCGGCTGTGGCAGAGACAGGCGCAAACACCGGGCAGGAGGTTCAGGCTGCACAGAGGATCTCAGAAACCCCCACCCAAAACCCATTCATCCAAAAGAATGGCCCCAAGACCATCACAAACAGGAGCCTAAAAAAGGAACACTCAACAGTAATCGTTCTTAAGCATGGCATGGAAACTGCCCTTTTCGTTTTCCAAACCAACCTCATGTTAGCCACACATTTTCTGAATCTGCTAGCTAGGTATTATTATTTTTTAATGCAAAAGCTGACGTCAAGAAAAGGGAGTGATTTGTGGGCCTTGCTCATCAGTCCACAGTAGAGTCTGGGTTAGACTCCTGAGTGCAGCAATCCCAACCCAGGTATGCCAGAGCTATGTGTCCCAGCCTTCTCTTCTTCTTCTTTCTATACTACCTAAGAGAAATCAGCTAGCCCATGGTCTAACCAGCTGGAATTATTCATCAATCTGCTTATCTACCACTGCCCTGAAGCACCCATGTCTGTTTCTCCTCTACTGGAGTTCTTGTCCGGGGGGTCCATATGCAGTCCCAAGGAAGCATCACTGAACTGCATTTACAACAACACCCCCATCCATCTTTCCTTTAAAAAGAGCAACACCCTCCAACTAGTCAAAAAGGCAAAAGCAAGAACAATGTCTTCTCCCTCCCTTTCCGTCCCCCAACGTCCTACATAAACCAGTCATCACTTCCTGCGCAGTCTGATTCTAGTGTCTGCTTCACTAATCCTCCTTCTTCATTCCTACTCCCTAAGTTCAAGTTCAGTAGACTTCGACTGGGCTTTGGTGTTCTAGCACCGCCCCAAACCAGCAAAGAAACCTTTCTGAAATGCAACGCCGGCCACCGAGCTCCTGGCCCTGCTTTAAAGTTACTTCCAGCCGGATGCAGTGGCTCATGCTTGTAATCCCAGCACTTTGGGAGGCCGAGGTGGGTAGATCCCCTGAGGTCAGGAGTTTGAGACCAGCCTAGCCAACATGGTGAAACTTGGTCTCTACAAAAACACAAAAATTAGCCAGGGCATGGCAGCACGCACTCATAATCACACCTACTTAGGAGGCTGAGGCAGGAGAATCCCTTGAACCCAGAAGGTGAAAGTTGCAGTGAGCCGAGATCACATGACTCTACTCCAGCCTGGTAACAGAGGGAGACCCTGTCTCAAGGAAAAAAAAAAAGACTTCCCACAACTTTCAGGGAATGTTCAAGCTTCTTAGCATAAAAACATGCATGGCCCTTCGGAACTCGTTGGAGAAACAGATGCCTATACAGCCTGAAACACACTAAGGAACCAAAAACAAAGAAGATATCAAAGCTATGAGAGTCAGGTCAACACTGTATATTTTATAATTTTAAGCAGTGCGGTGCTAGAGGTACCTATGCTAGTTCATCAGAGCCAATGGCACACATCTCTTCCCAGCTCTGTTTCCCTGTTATCATGTTAGTAGCCTGAAATTCCCTATTGTCGGAGGATTTACACCTCAGAAATTGGCAAACGCTGCTCATCAGAGTTTTTCTCCCAGACAGCAAGCTGCCAAATACTTCCCAGCAAATCTCAATCCATATCTTTCAAGATCATAGTGAACAATTTACCACTAAGAGTATATGATGTCTAGGGCTTGCTTTAGAATAAAGGGCAAGGAGGGAAGAGTGGGGTGCAGATTCAACAAGGCTAACCATGTACTGATCAAGTGGAAGCTGGGTTCTGAGCTCATATAGGTTCACTACTATTCTCGCTGCTTTTTAAAATTCCATAGGGAAAAGCTAAAAGCACAACCACAAAGGCCCCCCATATGTGCTGCCAGCTTCCTTCCCAACACTCTCCCTCAAAGACCTTCCACCCCAATCATAACTGCAGTTCTCCAACGCGCAGCTTCCTCCTCATCTTCACAGTTGGGCCCCTGCAGCTCCCCCCAGGCCTCTCCCTCTCCCACGCCTCCCTGCTGTCATCAAGTAGCTCTCACTCATTCTGCAGCTCTCAAAGTCACGCAACGGGAGCGTCACGTTGCATCCTGCAACTGTCCAGCATTCTGCAGCGACACCAACAGCAGCTGACACATATCCAGCTCTCACTGCGTGCCACTGTTTAATTCACCGCCATGCCATGAGGCAGCTGCAGTTATTCTCCTCACCTTGCCGATGAGGAGACTGAGACAGAGGGAGGTTAAATGACCCCCTCAGGTCTCACAGCTGGCTAAGACAGGAAAAAAGATTCGGACCCCGGCAGCCTGGCTCCAGAGCCTCTGCTGCCGGCACAGCAGTGTGTCCCTTTGACAGTGCTATGAGACCTTTACTCCTCTGCCATAGGACCCAGGGCCTTCCTGTCTCTCCTGTACTTGCCTTTCTTTCCCATTAGACTGCGGATGGCCTAAAGCAACATCGTGATAATACAGTTCCCAAACAGTAATATTCAGTAAATGTTATATAAGTATGCCCTTTTTCCCTAGGCCAGTGGTTTTCAAACTGTGTTCCTAAGAAGCCTAGGGGCAAGTCAGACATAGCCCAGGGACCAACCTAGAGAAGGGACAGCTGCCCCTCATGGAGGAGCTGCAGAACTACCACCCCCAATATATCCAGTGTACGTCTCATGTACCAAATTTTGCAATAAGTTTGGATAAAAAGTCCCTCTGCTAAATCAGAAGCTTGAAAATCATTGCCCTATATCTAGTCAAGGTGCCTTCACTCTAACCAGAGTGACAGAAGAACGACAGTTCCCCTGCTTTTCTTCAGAAAGCAGGGATCTCTTCCCAGCTAGGTCAGGAAGAGGATTCCGCTCCAATCCTAACTGCAGCTCCCCAGTGTGCAGGTATTATTAGCTAGGATACTTCCCAGTATCCTGCATTGTTCATATCATTTCTTCAAATTCAATTTTTTTTTTTTTTGAGACAGGGTCTCACTCTGTTGTCCAGGCTGGAGTGCAGTGGCATAATCTCAGCTCACTGCAACCTCCAACTCCTCGGTTCAAGTGATGCTCTTGCCTTAGCCTCCAA